TGCCATATATGTCACCCATTTATCTTCGTTCGAACACCGTTAGTATTTGGGAGAAGAGCTTTGAGCCATACCTTGACCCAACACAGTGGCCACCTTATAATGGTTATGACTACGTGCCGCATCTGGATCTAGTGAAGGTAGGGAAGGGTAGGAGGAAGAAGATGCGACTCAAGGGGGACATGGACGCTATGAGAGGGTACGGCGAAGACATGTACGGCGGGGGAGACTTCAACGAGACCCATGGCAGGAATCTTTGCTCCGTTTGCAAACAATCTGGCCACAAGGCCAGCAGGCATAGAAGGCACCAGGTGATTTCATATTGTGTTCATATTGCATAACAAGTAGTTAAAATTTTGCAATGCTACATAATGTTAATATGAAAATTGTTAATTTGAATACTCTAACCCTTTGTTTATCATTTTGTAATAGGTTGGCCCCTCCCACGCCGCACCAGCTGATCCCCCTTCTTGATGTGGAGTACGACGACCCCCTTCTTGTACCAGACGATGAGGTTCATTACGTCGTGGGACTTAGTTCATTACGTCGAACTTATGTCGAATGAATATTGTCGTCGAAAACTTGTAGACTCATAAACCAATGAAAATGTTGTATGGCAACTTATCGTCCATTTCTTTGCTTCATGTTCGGTTTGTACAACACCGATAACAACTCAATTGTAGCTGGCCGTTGTCCGTCTGCGCACTGACGTGCCATGTACTATGGCGCGGCACAGACGCGCCGTGGGCTCTGGCGTGGTAGAACCATGCCTATGGGGCACCAGAACCTGGGCTATGGCGCGACAAATGATTACGTTCGTTTTAGAAATTTTGAACGCATGATACAAACAGATGTGATCACTTAAGATCGATCATGGGTAATCCGAGTACATGATACATGGGTACAATACATCAGTAGTTCAAATGGAATATAAGACAACACAATAGAATTTCTACTACGTGGCTACATTGATCATTAATAAAGCATGGAACTAACAAACGGTGCAATCAAAAACCCCCAGTCAGAAACGTACTGACTAAGCAACTTGTCGTCCGAGTACCAATCCTCAACCACAACCCTGTTGCTGTGGCTATGCTCACATGCGTTGCTCTGACCTACCTGTCGCCTGTAGTAAGCGGCCTCCGCTTTATCTGCGGTCGCTGCGGCCTGAGTGAAGAACGCGTCATCATCCTCCTCCGCCTGTAAGCCCACCTTTGCTAGAGCGATGAGCTCGCTTAGTCTGCCAGTGTCGTCCTTATCCTCCTGCTCCTACAAGCCCGCCTTTGCTAGAGCGATGAGCTCGCTCAGTCTGCCAGTGTTGTCCTCATCCTCCTCCGCCTGCAAGCCCGCCTCTGCTAGAGCAATTAGCTCACTAAGTCTGGTAGTGTCATCCTCATCCTCGTCCCCCTCATCAGACAACATAATCGGTGATTCAACGGTACGACCAGCTCGCTTTCTGTGCTCATCTAACTTCTTTTCCTCGTACCTTGCATGAGCCACCTCTACAGCATGTTCCCCGCTGCATCCAATCCCTTCATGTATAAAATGCAATCAGTTAGCAACGTGATTATATTACATTTAAAATTAGATAACAAAAAAATGCGTTCAAGCACTCACTAGCACATAATGCAGCAACATGCTCGTTCAAGACCTGCATCTGTACTCTTGTCTCCTCCCTTGCCCTCTCCTCCTCTAACGTCATCCGCCTCTCCAATGCCCATTTGTTAAGCCCAACATCGATCGGGTTACAAATACCGCGTTGTCTAGCAAACTCACGCATCTTTTCTTTGTGATGTTTAACGAATAGGTTGACATAGTCAGGTCCATATCCCCTCTTCCTTGTTAGTTGCCTCTTCTTCAGTTCATCTAAGAACTTAGCTTGACCATCGTAACGTTCCCACCTGCATTTCCTAGTGCTCTGTTCAAAATAAATATTATATCATATATGTCTGAGCAAAAGAAATAAAATACGATTTCATGTTTACCATAAAAATAACGAATCTCTTCGTACTCAACCATATGGCCGCAATAATGGCCTATTCCAAGCTCCGAAGGGACTAGGCCATAGTTAGAATTAACACCACATTCGCACTTGACTAGTGGTGCTTTGTAAATTAACCTTTCTTTCTTCTTTTGTTTTGCTTTTGGAGGTTCTTCAGACCATTTGTTCTTAGGACCATACAACCACTTCTTGCAACGACACTTCGCCATTGAATACACCTAAATATCGTGACATTAGTACATGACATATATAGCTCAATATTTCAACACATACACTTTGCACTTACTTCATGCTTGTTTGGACACACAAACTCCAACGTATTGTCAGGGTTTATTACGGCTCGGTCTCCGCAATGGCACAGAGGAGGTTCCTCGAGTCATCTAACTGTGGCTAAGTGCTTCTCCTTAGCCGTCATTGGAGGGGGGTTAGGGGGAGGTGGAACCCACCACTCGAAGTGCTCTCGTGGATGTCGTCCACTCCACCAATCGTCGAAAAGATGGTACCTAGGGTCAAACTTGTCTGCACCGTCGATCCACTGAAAGAAAAAACACCTCTCATGGTCCTACACAACAAAAAAATTTAAAAAATATTAGTAATCTAGTAATACAAATGAAGAAGAAAAAGATAGTGAAAATAATTACTTACACTAAAACGACTGCACGTGTAGAAGCAACGAGCCGCTGTGTCCGGATGTCTCGATTGAAACACGTCGGCCGGGCGACCACAGTCACAATTAGGGACAGGGAGTTCAGGAGGGACAGGGGCATCTTTGCTAGACTCGTCGGGGTATATTTCTCTAGGACGACCCCGTTTTTGCCATAACTGCTCCTAAAACATGTCTTCCATCTAATAAAACGGTTCAAATTAAACATCAATCAAAATAACGCAAATTAATGTAAAATGTAATCATTTGCGATGCAACTAAAATATTATAAACAACAAGTATAGCAACAAAAATATATATGGCAAACATACTTCTAACTAAATAATTAACCTTAACATTGACAAAATCAAACTAATATGTTCACCGTAGTTTCCAAACATAATTTTCCTACTAACCTTAACTCCCATTCATAATATCCTATCCACCATTCAAATGAAAATAAAATGTGCGTCATTACCTTGAACTAGGACGAGGAGGAAGGGAGGCGGCCGGGGAATGGAAGGGAAGGGAGGGAGGCGGCAATGGAGGGTTGGGCTGCCGCCGTTCGTGGCGCGGCGACCGGCGTGCTTGGCGACGGGCAGGAGTGGGAGCGACGCCTAGGCCGCTTTGCTGCTCGGGCAGTGGGACTGGCCGCGGCGGAGGTTTTACCAGGCTCTGCCATGCCATGGATCAGGGCGTGGCACTGCCGCGCCAAGATCGGTGGCGCGGCAGAGCCCTGCCACGTCAGCGGTCAGCGCTTCTGGTCGCCGCCACGTCAGCTCCCTGCCGCGCCACCATGCATGGCGCGGCACAGGCATTTGGCCACGCCAGGGAAATAGGCGCGGTCAAAAGTGTTAGTTAAAAAAAACCGAGAGTGTTAGATTTAAAATTAGTTTAAAAAAAAGTGTTAAACTTAAAAAAAAATCTATTTAGCTAGCACAATCCAAATCCGATACAACACCACTTTAGCAGGTTTGATGTGAAATTAATCACTCCTTTTCCAGATAGGCAGATAACGGAAGTCCATTCCACTAAAAAAAAGAAAAAGATAACGGATGTCCATGAAACTCTGTCCTATTTAGCTGATTCATTTATCTAAAGAACAAGGTGATTCATCTAGCCATCTTTGTTACACAATTAAATTATGCTCACTCATACTCTTGCTCTTGTAGTAGACGACATGGAGTAAGTGTACGGTAACAAAGGGAGGACTAAAAGACGCCGCCAACTACAGATGTAAAGGAATCGCAGATGGAAGTTCAGCGAAGAAATTAGTAAGATGCTCACAAGTTAGTCCGGCTTCTTTTACTTCCCAAATTGAACTCAAGCCGTGCATACTCATGACTCGTAATCATACGAGTTAGATTAACTCGCGCCGAACGATGATTGATACAGAGTCTAACTGCAAGACGTATTAGATCACATCAATCGTATCTCGTACATGACCCGGACTCATCAATCGTGCTCATACGAGTTAGAACAATTCACATGTAGCAATGATACGGAGTCTGATTCCTATGCATATTAGATCCCGTTGCAACGTACGGGCATTTTTGCTAGTTCAACACCTATATAATAATGTAGGGATCCAAACTACCTATATAGATTATTATATCTCTTAATCCAAATTATAATAATCATATTCATAATATGGATTATAATAATATAAAATCTATATCTAGACTAATATTTAAGAGTACAATTTTCTACCTCCAAACTTTGGTCTATTACACTGTTTCCTTCTTGTCCATGTGTCCCTCTACTCGTAGGAGTGTACGAGTCTATTACACTCTCTCCTACCACGGGTCGTGTGCATGCTTAATCATCTAATGCATGGGACTGGTGTATAAATTTAGGAGTAGTAGTTACAAAGAAAAACTGTAACTCTCTCGAATGCTGAATGATTGGGTATGTACACATGCTATGAATCATTTTAGTACCTATGGCTACCACAAACTTCTTGAAAAAAAAAATTTGAGCAATTTTTTGGTCTTGGATTGGATGGACAAAGCTAAATTCAAGCATGCTCACATTCGAGCCTAGATAAGTTTCATGGCCTTTCTTGGGCCAAGCCAATGCAGTCTTTCCGAATTGATCGGCAGCCCGTTTGGGTCAAAAACGTGCGAACCAAGGAATCAGTCTCCAGTTCCACCCGAGGAAGCAGACCACGCCTTTCCCGTGCGCCGTGCTATCCTCACCGCTGCTGCCGTTGCCCGCCGCCCGCCACCCATCTAGGTCTTCCACCGCCATCGCAATCTAGTCTATACAGCGGCGCGTCCGCGCGTGTTCCCCGCCGCCGTATGTGCGTCCGCCTCTTCGACAACCTGGACCGCCGGTACCGCACTCGTATCTGCTCCCATGTCGAGGACGACCGCGGGGTCCCGCGCCGCCCCTGGCGGCGGCGGAGGCCGGAAGAAGGCGCCGGCTAGTGGCACGACATCGGCGCCCAGGCACGTGAGGATGATCCATGAGAAGCTGGCTCGCGCGCGCGAGGAGGAGCGGCGCGCCGAGGAGAGGCGCCGGGAGGAGGAGGAGCGGCGCGCAGAGGAGGAGCGGAGGGCGAGGGAGGAGGCAGAGAGGCAGGCCGAGGTGGATAGGAGGCTTCGGGAGGAGAAGCGGCGGAAGAGGCAGGAGGAGGCCAAGAAGCGCGGGGAGCGGGAGGAGAAGCTCCGGATGGAGGCCGCGCGGAGGCGGCTTTTCGTCGCCGTTGCTGATGCCACCGGCGGTGATGGGTGTGGTGGCGCGTAGAGAAGGCCCGTGTATGAATCAAGGAAGTCTAAATCGGTGCCCAAGCAGCGCCATGTGAATGTCCAATCTGAAATTGAAACTGATTTGGGAGAAACTTTGGGGTCTGAGGACCAATTGCAGTACGAACAGAGCAATGCGTCGCTGGAGGATGTTGGAGTAGTTGTTGATGTACTGCAATTGGGGGAGGAACAGATTACACAATCATCTTCGGAAGAGAGCAATGAAATCGACGAAGATGATACTTGGGAGAACACTATGCAGCACGGATACACGTATCGGTATCGGAAGGATACGGATACGCGCATACGGCAATTTTCTAGAAAACATGATACGCACATATGTTTTACTATTTTTTTAATAAATAAATAATAATACAAATTAAAATTGTGAAACTTAGTCACAGGAAATCCTAATGTCTGTTCTTGTGATTGTGGCTGTGCTCAAGGTTACTAGGTTTACTGACACTGGGAAATTAACCATGTGCAGTGGTTTCAGCCTTATGGATAATGACATATATACTTTTGTGTGAGGAGTGGCTGGTGGCCACAGCCCACAGATCCTACGCGCGCCTCCCATTAGGCCCATCAGTAGCCCGACTAAAAGGAAGTCCTAGGCTGAAGCATTTTTGTCCGTCCGATTAGGATGAACGGCCACCATTTCATTTTGCTGAGACAAAACTGGAGGCTGGGCGGCTGGGAACCTACCCACGCGCGCCTCACTCCACTTCTCAGGGTCGGCCGCCGCTCCCCTTCTCGCGCGTGGAGCACGTCCACCGGCACCACGGCGCTCAGCAGATCCGCGCGCTCGTGCGGTAGATTTGCATCATGGGATCTGGCCGCGACCATGACTGACTGGTGAGTGCTCCCCGGCACAGATACTTCCTTCTCATGCTCATCAACTTCTCACGGGAGCTGGCCAGCGGCCATGAACTGAAGAAGAAGAAGAGGAGATCGAGAACATGGAAGGGGATTAACTCACGGGATCCACGTCGCAGGGTGGAAACTCGTCGCTGGCGGCCGGCGAGTAGGGACGGAGGCTTGTCGCCGGCGAGCGGAGGCGGAGGCTCGTCGCCGGTGGCCGGCGGCTGGCGAGCGGGGTTGAGGCGCGGGCACAGCCGTGCGGGACTGTGGACATCGGACGCTAGGGCGTCGGGGCAGAGGGATAAGGCTCTCTTCCTGCTCTTCTTACCGGGCTGGGCTGTATCAGCAGGCCAGATACGTGTCGGATGGCGTATCCAATTTGCACGAAAATAATAAAAAATCAGATACTCCGAGGATACGTATCCTGGACGTATCGGACACGATACGTTTACGTATCGGATACGCGATACGTGGCTTCAGGGACGTATCCGTGTAACACGAGAACAAGAGCTTCGATGGATTTGATTCCCTATTGCATGGTAAATCTACCTCTTTTAGAGGACTGAAAGAGGAGCAAGCAGAGGAAAAGCTGGTGACCTCTGCTGCTCCAATTTCTAACCCAATCAGTTTATTGGAAGATATTGGGGAAGATTTGGTCTCTATCCTTGAGGATGAAGGTCAAGGCAATGGGGTTGACATGGAGCTTCGTGCACCGATATGTTTCATCCTTGGGCATGTGGATGCCGGAAAGACAAAGCTGCTTGATTGTATTCGGCGAAGCAATGTGCAGGGTGGGGAGGCTGGAGGAATCACGCAGCAGATTGGTGCCACCTACTTACCTGTTGAGAATATCAGGGAGAGGACCTCCCTTAAAGCTGAGGCTACCATCAAAGTTCCTGGCTTGCTTGTAATTGACACCCCGGGGCACCAGTCATTCAGTAACATGCGCTCGAGGGGATCAAGTCTGTGTGACATTGCTGTAGTGGTTGTTGATATTACACGTGGGCTTGAGAAGCAGACCATGGAATCCCTTGATCTTTTGAAACACCGCAATGTGAGGTTTATTGTTGCCTTGAACAAAGTTGATCGGCTATATGGTTGGAAGACCTGTATCAATGCACCAATAGCAAAAGCGCTTAAGAACCAAACTGATGATGTACAAAGAGAATTCAAATGGAGGGTAACTGAGGTAGACATGTTGTCATGTTCATTGATTTATTATTACCTCTGATCAATTGGATTTGATTCATAAGTGGTTTATTTAATAGGTTATAACACAACTTATGGAAAAGGGTTTCAACGCTGCCCTGTATTATGAGAACAAGAAGCTGAAGCAAGTGGTCAATATTGTCCCAACCATCGCTGTAAGGTATGTCAGCTATATGTTTTGTTGGTTGCATTATTAAGGCAATGCTTTGTATGTTTTCTACACATTTGTCTTCTCTCTAACTTATACCATAATATTCTCCAGCGGTGAAGGCATTCCAGACCTACTTTTTGCTCAAAAGTGCGATGGGTGCCAAAAATAATGATGGAGAGACTGACATATGTCAATACTGTGCAGGTCTGTTCTTGAGGACATTTTTGCACTATAGTTAGTAATTCTTTTGTTTGTTGAGTTATGATGAGTATGAAAATCTTTTTTATGAAGGGATTGTATCGAACTGAACTAAAGTTACTGATTTGTTACTTGGATCATTTTTTATTTGAGCGTGTTGGTGATTTTGTTGCCATATTTATTTCAGTGTACTGTGCTGGAGGTCAATGAAGATAAGGACATTGGAACAACAATTGATGTAGTGATGATTAATGGTGCACTTCGGAAAGGTGATGGAATTGTTGTTCGCACCAAACGGGTATGATTTATTGAGTTTAAAATTGAACATGCACCATCCAAGAACATGCACCATCCAATGTTGCATCTTATCGGAGAATTTTTTTCATTTAATCAGTAGGGCCTGTCACAACCAATATAAGGTACTTGTTGACTCCTCCAATGAAAGAACTCAAAGTTAAGGTGAGTAGATGAAACCATTTTTTGTTAATGCATGTTTTCCTTGGTTGCATATGTAGGAGTTAATATCCTTTATTTATTTATTTATTTGTTTGTTGCCATCACCGTCCGTATCCGTAACTTACCCCACGTATCTAGTTGTTAAGATTTTCAAAATCTTCTCGACATAAGCATTAACACTTGCAGTGTTATAGTTAATCAACAGTTAGACTCTAATGTCGTGACTCAAAATTATCTAAGAATGCATATATGCGCTAATCATAATGTTTTGACTCAAAAATTATCTAAGCATACATATAACATAAGGACACTAATCATAATGCTTTGGCTCAAGATCATCTAAGCATGCATATATGCACATGTTATGTGGTGCTTTTTGTGAATACAGACCTACCAAGACACCTACTCCCAAATGTCCACATGCCTCATTTAGCCGTAAGATCTAAACCTAACTCTCGATACCACCGTGTAATCATCGGATGTTTTATTGTGATGGGTCTAGTTTGTATCAATGCTTAATTTTATATCCAAGATTAAATTTTGGGCATATATGATATATCATATGCATCTGTGAGTAAGGATTTAGGATACGACTTTGTTCACACATCACATTTTGCATATTCCATAATATCTGTGTTTGATTCTTGCATAGTGTTTTGGATGATGTTACATGTTTTTCCTCTCATCAAACACGGTTCATTTTTTAAGAACTACTAAAAGTAAAAGAAACCTTTGGACATTAATACTTCTTTTACTTACGGCACATCAATTTGTTCATATATTGTGCGATTTGGATTTCGGAACCACTATTCTATAAGTTTCTTTGTTTGGAATAGTTTTAGAAGAGCTTCGGTGCTTTTATGTTTGTTTGGGAGTAGTTGAACTTGAACTAGGATGCCCGTGTTGGTAGCGTGTACCCATGGGGTTGCCCATACTCGAGAAAAACTACACCATTATACAATTATCAACATGGAAGCAAGCATATGTTGAGTGAATAAGCATGGAAGCAAGCCAATGCCATTATGGCCATATGAGCGTAATAAGCATGTCACATAGTCATAAAAAGTTGCATGCAAAGCAACTAACTCAAATAGGCAATATATAGTTCATTAGCTCATCATAAAACACTATCCAATAATACTTCAAGTTTTCAACTAGAAGTCCACTGAGGACATAAAGTTCAACTCATCTTGCCACCACAACAATAACTCGATCAAGATCACCAGTTCACCACACATAGTAGCAGGATTGTAACAAAATAGGCTAGGCACAAGCAACCACACAAAAAATAATAGGCTAGAGGATGAGTTTTTACATAGTTTGAACTGAGTAGAAAATACCCATGGATTTGCGGGTTTGGGTACTATATGTGCCATACATGTACCCACATATCGATGGATATGACATTACGCCTCGTTGTAAAACACATTGGTTTTAGGAATTAATCTATGCCCATGCCCCAATGGGGTGAAAACCAATAGGGTTTCGGGTAGCCATTGCCATCCCTCGGTATTGTTGTTACAATAGTTGCGTGAATATCAATACTACCCATTGTGTCCAAAAATATCCACGCCCTATTGTCAGTGCAAGTGCAGAATGCACTCACATTTATATCACCTAAACATAGGTGTTCAACAAATCAATCAAGAAGTAATAAAAGAATAAAAGGGCCTAAAAAATTATAATTTTAATTACCATGAATGTGCAAGATTTGTTTGCTTAACTTGATTTCTTCTTCTTGTTGTTCAATAATTATCACCTAGAGCTGATTTCTTGTTTAAAACCATAATTTGTTGCCAAAATAGCTGGGGATCCAAGTTTCTACTCATTTTCTCCCCTCTATGTGATTTTGAACTACCTTGTACCAATGTTTTCAGATCGTATTATCGAGGCTAGTCGATGACCACCGATCGACGACTAATCGCGATTAGTCGTCGATAAAGGCTTCGATTAGTCGGGTCCTAATCGGTCTAATCGGCTAGTCGGACATTTAGTCGTCCTTGTGCCTAGATGGCCCGATCGACCATGTATATACTATATATATGGTGTAAATATATGAAAACATGGCCATAATAAATAGGTAAATGTTAGAGGCAAGCAACCAAGCATAGTTTGGCATGTAATCATGTTTGCAATGAATCATTATCATGGTGATTTGGCCACTTACTCAGAATCGCCGCTTGTCGATGCTCGATGGTGAGTGCTAATCTGGCGACTTGTGGGTGAATCTGAAATTACAAAGAAAGAAGATAATCGTTAAATAGGCAAAATAGCAGAAAAACAAAACTGTAAAGACTAAAGAAAATGTAAAGAGTAGTAGACAGTAGAGCATAGCAAAACAACTTAACCAAGTACAAATTTAACAAATAAGAACTAACAGCAGTTTAGCACAGTGCACACTGTGCACTGCAGTACACAACATAAGTAAACTAATAAACTTAAGCAAGTTCTTAAGTCTGAAATGGAAATAGTTCTAAACATCCAGTCCACTGATCCATAGAACCAGCAATTCAGCTGTAACACCCCGGTGTTATGCCTACATTTAGGCACTGCAAATCACGCATATCATGCATCATCAAGCATCCTAATCATACATGCATAATCTTGCATATAATAACTGAAACATTACTTCGAAACATACGAAACATGTTTGTGAAACGTAAATGATGCATACACTTATTAGAGTTGTTTTGCTCTGATTCTTGCTTGCTAGGTTAGTAGAACATGTTTGGCTGCTATTGTAAATCATCTAGCAATGTTTAGTTCAATTTTTGGAGCAATGTTTGTATTCAAATTAATTCAAAATTTGGCTTCAAGAATAAATTCCAAAAATTAGGGTTTTGAGCTAAACGTGGACTTTGATCTTCCAATTCAAAATCTAGAAAGAATTTGGCTGTGGTCATAAAAGCAAAGTTGTAGGGAATTTAATTCTAAGCAACTTTCATTTTTGGTACATTTTCAAAAGAGGTCATTTTCTTGCTCCAAATAATGTTTGAAAGATGGCAATTTAAAATTTTCTTGAAAATCAATTGAAAAATTCCATTTTCTATTTTCTGGGCCGCCGCCTCGCTTCTGGCCTGCCAGCCGAAGCCGGCCCAATGAGCTCTCACCGCCATGCCTCGCCGCCTCGCCTCGCCCTTGAACTTGCCCAAACCGCCCGCCCCGCTTGCCTCCAGCGCGCCTTCTTCTCCTCACAAGGCTGTGTGGTCGCGCCGCGCCCGTCCGGCCTCGTCGGCGACGCCGCCCGGCGTGTCCGCCACGCGCCCGGCTAACTCGACCACGACCACGGTTGTTGGCGGGCTTGAAGAGGAGCGCGCCGCCTGCCACCAGCGCGCGCCGCCTCCTCCTGTTGCGCCTTCACTCCGCCATGAGCCCCCTCGAAGCTCACGCCTCTCAAGGCTCGAGCTCCGCCGACGCCAAGCTCTCACACCGCCGCATCATTTTCCGATTGCTCGCGCCCACAGCTCCGCCTCGCCCTCCTTCAAGCTGTGCTCGCATTTGCGCCGCCTTCCGAAAGCTCGGTAGAGCCGCCGCCTCATCTACGCACCAAGCGCCCACGGCGTCGCCGTTCTCGGCCGCCATGGAAGTCGCCTTCCTCCTCTTCTCGGCCCCGCCTAGCTACCCTACCGACTCACCATCTTCGCAGATCGCATGCGCCTGCTTAGCCCGCCTTGCCTCGGCGGAGATGGTCTTGCCGGCCTCGTGGTCGAGAAGCCAGCTGGCCAGGCCACACATGAAGAAGCCGACATGGCCCTCTGCCTCGGCCAGTGGCCAGTTAAGTGGCCGTGGGCGAGCCCCGAGCCAGCCGACTCCCCTCCCTCGGCGCTTGGGGCGCAGAGGCGGTGATGGCCGTGGGCCATTGTTTCAATGGGCGGCCCCAAGATTGTTTAAAGTGAATTGATTTCCTTTATTATTTGTTATTTGAAATCAAAAATGGTTTGAAAAATGTTTGGATGATCAAACTTGTTCCAAATTTGTTGAAACAAAATTTTCTAGGTTCCTTATCACCAGATCTACTTGAGAAAAATAGTGCATGTCATTTTTGATATACTTTTCTATAGGATTTTATTTAATCTTGAATATTGCTGATAACTTGAAAAATATGTAGAAAAATATCTAGGCTTCAGAAAAATATGATTCCAAGTTTGTTAATCTTCTTATGTCATGTACTTCCTAGGAAAAATATATTTCATGCATGTGCTGTGGAAAACTTTAGAGGTGTAGTTCAAGTACCTTAAATGGCTGATTTTTGTTATTTTTGCTAGAGAGCAAACTTTGTATAAAACATGCATGTGATAATTTTTGTACAGTCATTATATACCATGAAGAACCTAGGAAAAATATTAATTCTGTTGTTTGACACTTTTCATCGTACAAAGTAATTTCATGCTCATTTTAGGCTATAGCTTGTCATTTTTGTGTAGGATAGTTTACTTATCCAAATGCCATGAAATTTTTATGGTAGTCTGTTTAGGGTAGTAGTATGCTACTGTAATTTTCTCAGATTTTTAGGAGCATCAGAAATATAGGTTGCTATTCAAACCTATTATTAATTAAGGTATAAGCAAGTGTTGCCCTAAGTGTGATTAAGAAATTAGTAAAGCTTTGGTGTATCTTTGAAGCATTTCACAAGATAGGTTAACTTGACATATTAGTAGTAGAAGAGAATGCAGTAGATGACATGTGCTTGTAGCATAGTTTCTTGGATGATGTTGTCTACCTTGCCTTTCAACATGTTCATCGCATTCATCTCCTTCGATGCACCGATTGCATAGGCACTTACACGCATTGCATCATACAGGATCGCAAACCGAGAACCCAGTCGTCATTCCCGAGGAGCCCGAGGAGCAGTTCGAGGTGTGCAGCCGCAGGAAGTGCCCGAAGCCGAGAGAGAGGACGTTGAAGAACTTCCCGAGTGCCCCGATCACCGTCCCGAGCTCCTTCGAGAGAGGCAAGCCCCGAGCATCTTTCTCCCGGTTTGCAATGATTTCGTTAAATGCTTT